TTAGGAAACAAAACTTCCAGAACACGGCCACACAGCCCGGAAGACCCACACCAGCCATTGTATGCCGGCCGTGAAAGCCTTCGACAATACATAGATTCTATGGCAGTTGGGAACAATTTTAAGTAGCAGAGAATTTTTTTACCATACTGGGGAAGATAAAATTAAACAGTGTTAAGACCTGTTTTAAAACATTCTTCATCATCCAAAAAACTTTTAGAAGAAGAATAATACCTTTTTTAAAAAAATGCATGCTAAACATTAAATTTAGCTAATTAACTCCAGTTAGCCTATTACCTGCAGTGTGTCTTAGCAGACCTATGTTTTCATTTACTCTACCTAAAAGCATGCTGCATTACAAAACAGGATTATTGCTACAATGCCTACATCCAGAATGATTACTCTCAAATGAAAAGAGATATTTCCCTTTGGATATAAAAGGCTCAGAATATAATGTATTATGCTAAACTGTTTTTATAGTTTAATGATCATAAAAGGAACAATACCATGTGCAGGGAAGTGTTTCTCTGAGCACTACGCTTATTGGCTTATAGACCGTCACCATACTAAAAAAATTAAAGTAGCTTTTGTTCCATTGGCTTAAAGATTAGCATATCGCCTGATTTTAAGTATGAGATTCTTGATAATACATTGTTAAGCTGGCAATATAATTTCAAGATCACTGGCAAAAGTTGGTCTGGATGGACATGGTTGCCACATACAGCTATAAAAATGATGGCTTATCCTGAACATCTGATCTTCATAGTTAAATGAAGGTGCTATAGGCCAATTAGTCTAGGAGGTTTAATTCAAGACCATCTAATGGCATTTTATCAGGATAACATAATAATGCAAGGTAGGTCCCATTTATGTTTTTCAAACACATTCTGAAGTAAGAACCGTAGAGTTAAAGTAGACTCATATGGCTACACTGTCCTTCCTATTGACTATAAGCATCAAGCATCTGTATGATCATCTGAGGGCTCTATTTATTACTGTGCCCAGAAATCTTCTTAACAAGCCATGATGGCATCAGAATGACAGCACATGTGTCATGATATCAATGAGCAATGGTGTGATTATGAAAAGGCATCATAACAACTGATGCAAATACATAAGCTGCATCATTTGCTTGGTGACACCATGATGTGTGGGTCCTCTCTTGTCTTCTTGCTGTCCCCTCTCCTCCATACACAGGTAACCATGATAGTCCATGAAGCCATTCCAGCTTCCAATCATCCCATCAAATAGTTGCTCATATGGAGCTTACCACATTGTTAACAGAGGTATCAGCTAGCCACTGGAATCCAAATTTAACAGAAAGTAGGAAGAAATTGAAACAAGGTTGGGAACACTCACAAGAACTCTGCCAGTTAAGGTCTGGGCTGAAATCATCACCCCTGCCCAGTCTTTAACAGAGGTCATCCAGCCCACTTCTGCTGCCACAGTTTCCTCTTTGTCATCTGTGCCTTTCAAATCCCCATCTGCCTGGGTCTCCCCATTGCCAGTTATCTTCTGGGCCTCCTGAAAATGGAAAGTGGAGAATAGTTAGAATGGCCACAGTTAAAAACCACCGAGAACCAAGTAAATGCAACAGTTAACATTATATCTTATAATAAGTGGGGAAATCCTGTTCCTTAGCCAAACATGGACACATGCAAATCTCGTAAGTGATACTCAGTTCTTTGATTATTAACTGTTGGGTAACTGTGGACACTAAGTGTTCTGAATTCTGCCATTCTCCTTGCATCCCCTCCCATCGGAAAAGGTTAGATTTATTTCAACTCTACCTTCTCAGCAAAATATATATTTTAAAAGCCCACTGTTTCAACCAACCTAGCACATTATACCATGTACTTCAACTGAGTCTGGCCTTGTATGTAAGCCTCTGTGCAGAATATGTCCATAGACAAAATTAGTGTAAGAGCAACATGCAAAGAATGTGGATATTAGTCATGCATCATTTTGATTTATGGCTTCTAGAATTAGTTTCCCAAGGAAGCTCACACTGGGCAGTGTGTGAAGTCTAAAATGCCACGCAAAAATGAAATGCAAAGTTCCAGCAGGACCACTGTTTAAAGAGCTGTTTGATTAATCCAAGGCGCTCCTCTCTGTAAGCAGCAGTCTTTACTGAGTCACCAGAGGGAGAGGAAAAAGCAAATCAAAGAAAAATACCCACTGAATCACTACTGGCCAATACCATTCATATTCAGTGTCTCCAGAAACTGCTACTACAACACTACTGAGTTCTTACATCCAAGATAAATATGCTTCAATCATGAGTAGCACACAAGAGGAATTAGGGTCCAACTGAGGAACTTCCTGGCTACTTCTGATCTATATGATGGATGGATTCGTGTAGCCACCAAAATGAACTCAAGAGAGTCTTTGTCTTTATTTGTCTTTACTGGGTCCTATATGATGTTTTTCCTACAGTCTTGCCATCTCTTCCCCCAGGAATATAAGGAAGTCCAGGAAAATTGAAGCAGAGGAACATGTGCTTCAGATGCATCAGATCTAAAGAAATGGGTAACCAATGAAGCCAGGAATTTGCATTAAATCCTCCCTCCCTCCCTCCCTCCCTTCACCTGTATGGTACACCAAGACTTCTAAATTTGATTCATTTTGTTTCTAGGTAGCACGTTTCCAAGAAATCTAGTAGAATACAAATTGCTGCATTCCTTATTTGAAAACACTGAACTCTAACTCTGACCCATTCTCCCTTCTGCTGCACAAAAAAGAAAAGCAAAAACAAGAAGTGTTAGGCCAAAAGGTCTAACGATGCCCGAAAATTTCTTCCAGCTATGCCAATAAATTTTTAAAAGTTTCTTATTAGTCTGGATAACAATAGTTTTTTTCTTCCTCTTTTCTGAAGTATATGGAAATATCTCTTACAGCAAGGATGAGTGCACCATTAGAAGACCTGAGAGACCAGGTTAGGGAGAGATCATCACAGAGAAAAATCTATCTATGTGGTCACTAAGAGTTGACAACGACTTGGAAATCTACCCAGCCCCAGAATGTCATATAAACAACATTTCTCTAAAAACAAATACTGTCACTAGATTTATTCTTTGCAGACAGCTTCAGAGAAATAGTTCCCAAAAGGGGTTTCAAGGAACTCTGGAGCTTTTGGGGGCTTATCTGGACCCTTTTCATGTGTATGTATCTGCCTTTTCAACCTAATAGTATTTGAAAGCCACTGCTTTGGGGAAAGGATGAGAAAGCAAGACACAATCTTCCAAAGAAAGAAAGAGACTGAGAGCTTTCAGAGATTCCAAAAGAAATATGTGGGTTCTTTCTTTCTATTCTCATAAAAATATGTGCTACATTTTCACAGACAAGTTGAATTCCATTTTTTACTCATGATCAGGTCAGTGATGCAGATCAGGTCATCTCTGATTCTCAACCTAGAGAAAGCCATTTTATAAATACAGAATAGGTAGCAGAAGCCTTCAAGGCTAAAAAATCAAGGAGACCTACCACAGTTGACTTGAAAAGGCAGAAGAAACTCAGGATTCAAACTCTGGGACTAACACATATAAAAGCAGTCTTTTAGATGGAGACTTTCTGCATGCATGGCTTCCTAATTCCCTGTATTAAATCTACTTATTTAGCCTCGTTGAATCTGCTTGGGAACAGGGAGCAGGGAAAGTCTAATGTCAGTACTTG